CGAAGAAGAGAAACCGCGTAATTAATACGCGCGGCATCGTCATTCACGCCTGCTGCAGTGAAGAAGACTTCAACGCCGAAAAGCCACCCCTTCAATATAGTAGTCTTGTCCGTAGGGTTGAACGGGGGCGGGTTGACGGGTTTAATCTTGATCGTCGTTACTGCAATTGGCGTCGCTGCCACTCACTACCTATCCTCTTCTTCGAAATCACGTGTGAGCGCGTCTAACGGGTTGCTCACCGCTTAACAGCTGCCCTCGCCTTCATCATCGGGCGACTCATGACGCGCTTCACCTCGCGTCTGGCGTAGCTCGGCGTTTTCTCCTCGTAGTGTTGTCACTTCTGCCGATAGTGTCTGCACTATTGCCTGTAGCTCTGCCATTTGCGCCAGCATCTTGTTCAATGTCTCCTGGTCCATGAGTCGCTCGCTTCGTCAGGTGGGCAGAGGGGTATCCGTGACCTTCCGGTGAGTGAAAAACACGAACTATCGGAGTCGGGCAGGATTGAATTAACAAACCTTGCAGCCAACCGTCGTGTAGTCCACTATACCGACCACACCCGTGCCACCAAACTACCCTCGAAAAGCGGGGTGAACTAGGAAAGTAGCTCTGATACCATGTGTTATGAGTTGTAAAAGAGAGTGCGCGGAATAACGAATAACGAAGATGCGACTCAATGAACTGACAATACAATGAAGGCAAACGCTAATATATTGGGTCAACCTAACTAAGCGGGAACCTCGGGAACACGAGGTTGGGTGCAAGTTGGGCAACGGAAAAACCGAAGGCGGCGCGAGGTTGCTTCGGCAGCAAGCAAAGTGGCCGAACGTGCATTTTCGAAAGTTGGGGTTGTACGTGGTTGAGTAAATCCCTGTAAGGAAAAGGGTTTTTCCTTACAAAAACGAATTTCAAGCATTTCAACTACACTATTACATGAAGGTATAAAAATTCTCATCCTATCCTTTCGTATACACTTGAAGGGGTTCGTCACACTTGAAGTTAAAATATAACAGGTATATTGCTCATAAACACTGTATATGAGAGTATTGCTATTGGTTTCTGTAGTGAATAATTACAAGTTATTTTTGTTTTGCAATGATGGAGTGTGCACAAAGCATAGTTTATTTTATTGTTCAACAAAGACAACAAAATAGCAACACAGAAACACAATAATACAACCCAAAACTCTCTAACGGGAGAAACACTCTATAGCATTATGCGACAAAGGACAGATGGAGGCGACTACAGCGCTCAACCTCCAAAACCCAACCTCCAAACTTAGAAGCAAGATTTGGAAATGACGCATGGTTCCCCAATCTCCGCGACTTCCCTCAACCCATTCCCAAGCCACAACCTCGCGCATTCCAAACCCCCCGGAAGCCGGTACTTGCAAAGAAATTTCTGGATACTGGACTGCCTCGGCTCGGCTCGGGACAGGAAGTAGTATAGAAGGCTCCAGGCAAGCGGTAACCAAGTCCCTGAATGGTTTTGGCTGGGCTCCCGCTTTCTTGGAGCCTTTTGAGTGCCCTGGCCCGTCCCGGGCCGACACAGTGCGCTGGCTTATGCAACACATCATTAGAATCTGTCGTACGTTCAAACGGGCCCTTACAAGGCGAGTGTCCTCTGGTTGCACACAGAACAAGGTCAAGGGGTCTCGTGAACCTTGAAGTCGTTATAAGTCATTCCCATGTCAGTCAGCAAGTACATACTAGTTGGCTGGCTCGTTTGTGCTGTGCTATACGAGGCGCACAAGAGTTGCTGCTGCTGAGCTGTGTGTGTGTGTGTGCTGTGCTGTGCCGTGCTTTGCTGTGCTGTGATTCGGTTACAGTGTGTATGTTCAACTTTGCTTCAAGTCATGGCAGAAGTCAACGAGCGTAATTGGAGGAACCATTCCGAAACTGGGCTGGTTTTTGGCCCAATCACGAACGCTAGGTGCGCTGCCAACAAGAATTGGGTGGGGACGGGAAATGAGGGAATGTGAATAGTTTTCTGGTCCAGGGTTAAAATATTTAGGACCCTTAATTTAGAAGTTTCCCAAACCTGGCCCTTTACATATCAGGGCTAGCCGATAATCCCATTCTCGTCCCTCGTCTTTTTGTTTCACCGCCGCACCAGCCCATTCTCACTGCAAAATTCCCGCTTCCTGGCGTTTGTATGACAGTTTCCCTCCTCGCTTTCCGCTCACGCATCGCTTCACTTTGCGTCTCTTTCCGCTCACGCAGCAGCACGTCGCGGTTACTACATAGAGAGGACGGCTCACGCGGTCACCACTCTGCAGCCTCACCTGCCCCTCGTCAATCACCACGTCTCTCGTCGCCATGATGGCGCCCGGCACGCGTTCTGCCCTTAAAGTTGGCGTCGCCGCGGTCCTCGTTGGCCTCGTCGCGCTCATCTCAGAAGCTAGCGCCGGCGTGTACGACACGTTTGTAAAATTCCAGGGAACGGGCACTGCTTCCGGTCGCTTTATTTTCAACGACAGTCCGTGCACTAATGTCGTGTGGCTTTACTCGACTGCGCCCCCGATCAACGCGAGCATCCAGTGGGGCATCCAGGACGTCCCGCAGGTGAACCTCAAGTGCGTCAGCATCGCCTTCCACCCGATCGCGGACTGCAAGAGGGATCCCTACGTGACGTATCAGCGCCCTCTGCCCATCACCAGCAGCTCCTTCACCAACTGGTGAGCTCGCATTATCCCAAACATGGGCAGGGGCGTATCTCAACAGTCTCCTCCACGTGTCTCACTTGTGATCCTTTCCTGTGTGCTCCCGTGCCACCCTCCCCGCTGCTGGTCGCAGGACGATCACGACAGCCAAGGGCTTGCCAGGGTCAATCAAGTGCTGGACGGGTGAGATTGCACCACTGAACTCGCCCGCACTCACTTGCAACCTATCACACGCACGCTAGCCCGTTCATGTGTCAACGCCCGTTTGACCGCACAGCACTGTGCTTCACAGCTGTGACATCCCAGAGCTTTGCCGCATGGTGCGGTGCGGTGTAGTGTGGTATGTGGTGGTGTGACACATCACTGGTGCTTTGCTCTTGCAAAAGTCTAGTGGCTGCTCAATTGCATGCACACTCGCCATCCTGACTCACTTATTGCTTGCTGTGAGCCCAATCTTACAGTGAGCCCATGCTTCCTGCGAGCGAAACACACGCCTCGCTGCATCATTCTTCTCCCTCCTCCCCCACGTTGTCCCGCCTCCCTGCCACCACGTACGCCCCATGCGTGTCCTACAGGCTGCGAGCAGTGTGGGTCAGCCGTGTGCACCTTGGTGGACGGCAACAAGACGTGTGTGTGACCCGCCCCTCAAGTCTGCCACACCAATGCGAAGCAGTGCCGTGGTGAGTGGCGCTTCATCATCAGTGGGTACGAGTGACACCGTGATTCAGACACACCCAAACATGAGTGCCCGAGACTCCAGCTTCCCAGAGTGTGAACACCGTGTTCGTTCCCTCGCCTCCTCGTCACGGCTTTCCAAGTGTGTGTGCCCTGGCTGGTGGGCTCAAGTCTCGAATGGAAGCAGTATCTGTTCCCCCCTCACCACCGCTCGCCTCTTGGTTCCCTTCGACCTCCACCGAGGGGGCTCACTTTCACTGAGCGATGCCTCTCACGCGCTCTGATCCAAGATTTCCGGCCGAAAAAGCTTGCTTCCCTAGCGCCTTGCTCGTCCCTGCACTGCTGGCTGCAGCACCCCAACCCTCTGTGTTTCCATGGTTTGTCCGTCCCTCGTGCCGCTGCAATGAGGGGCGAAAAATGAAAGACACCCTTCGTCCGTCTCACACTGTTCCTTCCCTGTTTTTCTCACCCTGCGATGATGAGCCTCCTGCTTTGATCCCTCGTCCATATCACCCTGATCCTTCTCACGCAGCAGAGTTGTGTGGGTCATCAAATGACTCTTGTGCATTTCCATCCTATACCTCCACTCTTTCCTTTCACGTGCAGCTGTCTGAGGAGCAGCACTTGCATTCTCGAGCCCACCGTGCTCAGCATCAGGCCTTCTGTCACTGCTGCCTTTTCCAGAGAATGATTACCCCAACCAACCAGCTTCACACCCCCTTCGGTGGACGCCTTGTGAAATTAGTGGCTAATATAAAACAAATACCTAGTTATTTTCTTTGGTTTCTTTGTTTAACAAGCTTACATTGTTGATGCTTGTAACTTTTAATTGAGCCGAGATGTACTGAGTTGTGTGCTACCATGAGCTATGGAGCTCTCTACTCGGCGAGTCTAGAAAGGTAGCTTGGACTTGCAAGTTTCCGTAAGCGTGAACAGTGATTTTATGTCTTGGGTTTTCTGGCGAGGTTCGTCACTGTTTTGGCAGTTGAGCTTTTGGCCAATCACCACAAGGCCGACCAACTCGCTTCTTAAAGAGTCGCGAGGGAACGGTTTTCTCAACCTGGTTACCATGTTATTTGACGAATTCAAGTTTATGAATCTTGAAGTTGAAAAACGCCATTCTAGACTCGGGCTTTAAGTGGCAAGCAGTGTATCATGGCAAGCATGGCAGTGAGAGCAGTGACAACATGAATGTCGTCACAGGCGTCACGGGCGTTGTACTAACGCAGCACCCATGCGTGCGGGATGGGGGAACCGTGGGAGGGGGATTGAAAAAGGGGCTAAGGGGAGAGGAGTATGGAGAGGAGAGCAGTGCAGTGTGCGTGATGGGACGCGGCGATGAGCGACGTGGATGCCGTAGGTGGCGTGGCCCTCGCAGTTGACGAGGTTAATTGCCTTGTGTGTTAGTCAACCAGAAACACACGAGATTGGGGTATTGCGGAGAGCAGAGGAGAGCAGAGCAGGCGGCAATGAGTTGCGCTGAGTTTCAAAGTAGATTCTTAAGGATATACTGTTACACCTAAGGCGACGTGGATGCTGTACGAGGCATCGCGCTCGCGGTTGGTGAGGCTGGATGCCTCTCTTGCTGTGCCCCTCGCTGCCGCGTGCTTGCTTGGGTGTGCTGCTGCACTGATGTGGTGACCCCACGGCTTGGTCACCAGGTGAGCTATTCCTTGCATGCACTGGCAAGCGGCACCAAGGAAGCCACAAACCACTGCAGCTCCGCCCGCTCCTCTACTGTGAGGCCCCTGGCTGATCCCCCCTTGTTCTTGTGGCGCAGCCACAGCTTGGTCACCGGGTCAGGCGCCCAGCCTGGAGGGAGCATTGGTGGCAGGTGAGAGGGAGGAGGGTGGCCAAGGAGGGGGGGAGAAGTAGGAGGACATGGGAGGGCATAGAGAGGGTCTGAGAAGCAAAATGAGACGTAGAAGTGGGGCTGATGGGATGTACTAAGCTGATGCCTTAGATCACAGCTTTCTTGTTGGATCACCAGCCCAAGGCGCAGCACAGAGAGATGGCCAAAGGTCGTACCTGTGGGAACCGGCAGCTGGGCAAGGGCTCTCGAAACGGCCCGCACGTCCACTGCCCTCCCACCAGCCCTCCCTCCCACCACACGCTCGGACTCGCCTCAAGCCCAGGAACTTCCGCTACCCCTTCAGCCGCTGCCCCTTGTGCTGCCCCTTGTGCTGCCCCTTGTGCTGCCCCTTGTGCTGCCCCTTGTGCTCCCCCTTGTGCTGCCCCTTGTGCTGCCCCTTGCGCTGCCCCTTGTGCTGCCCCTTGTGCTGCTCCTTGTGCTGCCCCTTGCGCTGCCCCTTGTGCTGCCCCTTGTGCTGCCCCTTGTGCTGCCCCTTGTGCTGCTCCTTGTGCTGCCCCTTGCGCTGCCCCTTGTGCTGCCCCTTGTGCTGCCCCTTGTGCTGCCCCTTGCGCTGCCCCTTGTGCTGCCCCTTGTGCTGCCCCTTGTGCTGCCCCTTGTGCTGCCCCTTCCACGGTGATGAGCCCCAGGAGCGCAGCGAGGCGGGAGAGGCAGAGCAGCTCCGAGGGGCTGCCGGGCGGCACGATGGAGGCCAAGGGGATGACGGCCGCAGTGTGCTGCTTCCAGCGATAGTGGTCGCGCAGGTAGGCCTGCAGGTGGGCCTTGATGCGCCTGCATGCATGTGGAGGAAGCAGGGTTGGTAGAGTGGAGCGAGGTGGGCAGTGCTGACAAAGAGAGGAAAGAAAGGAACGCTCAATGTGCCCATGGTGGTCATGCAGGTCGCATTGCAAATGGGCCTTGATTCGCCTGCATGCAAGCGTGCAGAGGGGAAGGTAGGTTGTTGTCGAGGGAGGTGGGCAGGGAGAATGAGAGAAGAGAGGAGAAAAGCCTTGATGCGACTGCAGTGCATGGAAGAGAAAAATGGCTGAGGAGGGCGTAAGGGGAGAGAAAGCGAGCATTGGGAATTCGCGAGAGGGATTTCATGCGGGAATTGTGTATTGTGTAATGAGGAGCTAGGGGCCCTGAAATGTGGGAGTAGGAGCGTGCAGGGAAGGGGACAGCAGGTTGTGGCAGGGAGGAACATGAGAGACATGGGAGAGAGTGGCGGAGGCTAAGGAGGGGCAGGAAAGGAGATGAGTGGGAGGAGGTGTAGAGTGCACAATGTGGCCTTGCATGATGACGCAGCCAGATGCGTCTACATGTGCAACAATGGCAGGACGGCTGGGAGACTCACTGCATGCTGTGTGACTCACTCACGACATGCTGTGTGACTCACTCACGGCATGCTGTGTGACTCACTCACGGCATGCTGTGTGGTAACCAGCCGACGCGGAGGTAGGAGTGAGCGACGCCACACACGTCCCTCTCAGTCAGCAGCACCACCCCACTCCACTCGCCCACCTCCCACCCCTCCGCCCACTTGTGTGTCTTCACCACCACGTTCACTCCTCCCCACCCCTCTCCATCCATCCCCACTCCCTCCCCATCTCCTCTTCCCCCTAATTCCGCGGACCCCCCTCCCCCCTCCTCTCCCCTCCCCTCGCCCCCGGGTCCGTGGCTGCAGAGTGGCGAGAGCCCCCTGGCGCGCAGCTTGCTGGCGGAGATGGAGTGCAGCCAATAGGAGAGCGCCAGCTGGCCCGAGTGGGCGAGCAGCAGGCGGACGGCGTTGAAGAGCCACGTGGAGCCTGCAGCCGGGCAGGGAGGCGATGGATGGGTGTGATGGGAGAGGGGGGTTGGGCGGAAGAGGGTGGGGGCGGGGGGGAGGGGAGGAGGGGTAGAAGACAGGGAAGGCTGTGATGTGGGGTGTGCAGTGAGTAAGGGCCAGGGAGCTGTGTGTGTTGAACCTTGGAGCTCGCAGAGGGGGATGCGGGTGGTGACGGGTGGGGGTGTGAAGTGTGTGGGTAGATGGCGAAGGGGATGGGGGGAAGGGGATGTGAAGGGGGTTCAGTGAGGTGAGGGGAAAGGGAGGAGGGTTGCATGGGGAGTGGAGTGCGCGAACGTGCAGTGAGGAAAGTCATGCGACTCATCAAAGTAACTGAGGCGGTCACGAGCTTTAGACCTGTTGGAGACCAATGGGCCAAAAAGGGGTTATCCAGAGGCGCGGTGGTTGCTCTTCAAGCCCGTTGCTCTTCAAGCCCGTTGCTCTTCAAGCCTTGGTGTGGAAAATGATGGGTGGAGTGGATGGCGGGAAGCTGCAGATATTGCGGAGCATGAAGGCGCGGAGCATGAGGGCGCGGAGCATGTGGGCGCGGAGCATGTGGGCGCGGAGCATGTGGGCGCGGAGCATGTGGGCGCGGACATGTGGGCGCGGAGCATGTGGGCGCGGACATGTGGGCGCGGAGCATGTGGGCGCGGAGCATGTGGGCGCGGACATGTGGGCGCGGAGCATGTGGGCGCGGAGCATGTGGGCGCGGAGCATGTGGGCGCGGAGCATGTGGGCGCGGAGCATGAGGGCGCGGAGCATGTGGGCGCGGACATGTGGGCCTGGAGCATGTGGGCGCGGAGCATGTGGGCGCGGACATGTGGGCGCGGAGCATGTGGGCGCGGAGCATGAGGGCGCGGAGCATGTGGGCGCGGACATGTGGGCGCGGAGCATGTGGGCGCGGAGCATGTGGGCGCGGAGCATGTGGGCGCGGAGCATGTGGGCGCGGAGCATGTGGGCGCGGAGTAGGATGGTAGGAGGTTGAAGGACCCATCTCAGCTGCGCCCTTCTCAGCTGCGCCCTTCTCAGCTGCGCCCTTCTCAGGTGCGCCCTTCTCAGGTGCGCCCTTCTCAGCTGCGCCCTTCTCAGCTGCGCCCTTCTCAGGTGCGCCCTTCTTCGCTAACGACTTCCCTTGGGTCCCCCCTAAGTTACCTCGTGGTCTCCCCCCTCTACTCCCCACTCGACTCCCCCTTCGAATCCCCTCTTGACTCTCCTTTGGAGAGCTTGGAATACCAGGGTGCTTTCAGCTCGCACACAGTGGGAGCAGAGCAAAGCACTTGCCTAGACGAGGATGCCGATGCCATAGATGAGTTTCTGTCTGAGATGGGAGTGGTAACCACGTGTTTAACACCCAGTGGGTGTGGGTGTAACCAGGGAGTTACAGCCTGCAGCGGGCGTCGTTCGGGGGTTGTAGCATCGAGAGCTGTCAACCCTGATGTCAGCACAGATCTCAACCTGCGTGCAAACCTTAATGTCACTGAGTGTGATTGTTACACTGTTACCAAGAACATACATGTGAATGATCGTGCTGCCCTTGCTGCTGCAGGCTCTCTGGTTCGTTCTGCTTTCCTCTCTTCCAGCATGAAACACGATCAATAGCAGAAAAAGTGGCAGCAGCAGAAGTGTCATCTGCAGCAGCAGCAACTGCATCACGAGGAGAAAACGAGGGAACCGCAGAAAGCACAGCTGCCATGGGTGCTGCAAGAGTAGCAGGAGCAACCGCAACTGAATATGATACTGTTCAGTCCTTCATGCTCCGTGCCACGCAGCACACATGCCAAGCGACCTGCCTCTGCCATGACTGCACCTGTCGCTCCGCCTGCTTTCCAGGCTCCTGCCCTGCTGCCCTGCATGCATCACCCTCTTGCCACGGCTAGGGAGGCGCGTCAAAGCTGTACCGTGATTTGAGCACAGTGGCCCTTGGCGTGAAGAGGATTGTGCTGGTGGGAGAGGAGAGAGCTGGGGCCGCTGGTGGGGGCGTAATGGAGCGAGCCTCGACGAGTGGGGTGGTGGTGAGGTCAGGAACACCCACTCGCAGCAGCAGCAGCAGCAGCATGGGGTTGCGTAACAGGATGCGGGGAAAGGCTACTCAGAGGATGGCAAAACGCATTAGGCACAGTATTACCAGGGAGAAGAGTGGTAGGGTGGGTGAAAGAGCTGTTGTGAATCATGTGGCAGCACGCAGTGGCAGCAGCAGCATCTTGCGTGGTGATGGCGGGCAGATGAGACGGGACATTGTCTCACATATACTAGTCAAGTCCCCTCTGGGTCCCTCTTGAACTCTCCTGCTGCTGCTGCTACATCCAAGCGCCAGTGGCTCATGGTGACACACGAGTCACGTGGGGTTGAGCAGAGGCCATGTGAGGACGAGGTGAAGGCGTGTGGGGGTGTGGATTCATTGTGCGGAGTGTCATGGGCCCACCACATTGTGGTAACATTATCATCTCAGCAGCAAGTGTAGGCCTCATCAGCCCAACAGGGAATCCCTGAGCCACAGGGCCAGCAGGAAATGCTTGGGCCGTTGATCCCTGCACCAGTGTTTGCGTTCCTGGAAGGTGCCAGGGCCACCCGTGTTTCAGACTATGTGGCCGTTGACACGCATAGAGAGCTGCAGTCATGGATCGAGGGGCCGTAGTGTTACCAGGCATGTGCAAATGTGCAGTTAGTTGCGCCCAGCCGTGCCGTTGGTTGAAGGCTCACCGCTACATGTCGTGTGTTGTGGCACATTGATGGTACCTAGCACACTATCCTCGTGCCTGCAGCCTAGCACTCCTTTCTTTGGCAAGTAACTGGGTGGAAATGGTGGTGGTGGTGGTGTGTATTCACCAGATAGAATCTTCTCTCAAGTGGAATTGTTCAGAATGCATGAGGGCATGTCCAGGTCATACGTCGGCTCATGCTTACTGTCTGCAGCATCTCTTGTTTGACGGGTAAAATAAAGCGATTGCCCTTGCCGTGGGTCCCAATTTAGCAGCAGCCCTGATTTTATTACTAGCCAAGCAGGTTATCCAGCTCGCCAAGCTGCTTCAAGAATGTTCCCCTATCTTATGAGTTCATTTAGAATAAAGTGAACTGCCCTGTACACTGCAGCCTCCCCAACAGGCCCTGTGAGCACCCCATCGCCATGGGGGTTCTCAGCGGGTGTGAAGCACGTGAAGTGGGGGTCATTCCCATTGCACGTGTCTGAGAACCGCGGCAGCTCCACAGGCCACATGTTGAGCCACTGGAACCCGTACCGCTCCAGCTGCCCCTGCACCACCTCGTTCATGTGTGCTATTTGGGCGTTCGTGCCCTGCTTGCACTGGTACTGCGTGCGCAGCGGGGGAATGCTGCGGTACACCAGAAACGGTCCCCCACTATCCGCCTCCTCCTCCGCGCCGCCCTTCCCCCCGTTGCCCTCCCTTTCCTTCTTTCTCTGTGCGCGCCACTTGGCCCTCTGGTTCTGCGTGCGCTCGAGCTGGAAGAAGGCCCACTCGAGGTAGGGCGGCAGGTACACGCCGAGGGCGCGCTCCGCGTGCTCACAGAAGGCGGCGGTCCAGAAGCCGCCGTTGAAGATGGTGACGTCCGCCGTGGTGGAGATGGCTGGGAAGCTGTGCTCGCGCTCTGAGAAGCGCCCGCGGTTGCTGCGAGATGACGGTGGAGAAGGGGGGAAAGTGACGGGGAGGGGGGAAAGTGGCGGGGGGGGAGGGGGGAAAGTGACGGGCGGGGAGGGGGGAAAGTGCCACCAGGGAAGATTTGCGGGTGGTGTGGATCAAAGCACGTGGGCTCGAAAGGACTCGTGGGCTTGGGAGATCTAGACGAGGCTTGGGGTGCAAATTGACAGACACTGACATATGGTGCAGTGCAAAGAGTACAAACATGTTGACACACATGGGCATGAATAGTCCAGGGTGAGCGCAGGTGAAAGGGATCAACGCTTCAAGGCGTGATTAGTCCAACCAAGACCAGCACTGGCAGCAGCACAGCACGTACGTGCAGCCATAGTGGCCGTTCTCGTAGATGCCATCCACCCAGTAGAAGTTGAGCTTCAGCGGCATGCTCGCACGCTCCTCCTCGCTCACCGCCTCCTCGGGGCCGCCGTGCAGCATGCGCACGTGGCCTGTGCCGCCCACCAGGTAGCTGATATCCACGTGGCTCTTGATGAAGGACGTGTTGACGTGGTGCGAGAGCAGGAAGAGCAGGTGCAGGAAGAGGAAGCGCTGGTGGCTGTCACCCACAAAGCTCACCTCGCGGAACCCCCGCGCCACCAGGGTTGACACCCACTCCGAGGCGGGCGGAATGGGGGCCGCGCATGGGTACGGCACCCACCTGGTGCAGGGAAAAGGGAAGGGGGAAAGGAAGGAGGGGTAAGGGGGGTGAGTGGTGGGAAGGAAGGAAAGATGATGGGGTCAAGGTTTAGGGGCTGAAGGATATGAATGCGAAAAGATGGGAAAATTGTGAGGAGAATATGAGGAGAGTGGATGCAAAGACGAGGTGGAGGGAATCACATTGCTGCGGGACCATGGCAGGGTGTAGCGGCACTGTGGTGGACGCACACCACTTGATAGCAGCAGGCTTTGGATGCGCTCCATCAAGTCCTCCCACCACAACCTTCGGCTGCATTCAACCCTCCCCTCCCCCCGCCTTCCACCAACCCCACTCCTTGGCCCCTTGGCCCCCCCACGCACGCCCACCTGTAGTCACTGTCGTTGAGCAGCCACCGGCCCATGTCCCCCTGCCCGCACGGCGACGCCCACCACTCCGCCTCGCTCTCCACTCCCCCCATGCTCTGCCCCTCGCTGCCCCCCGCTCCCGCGCCCTGCGCCGCACCCCCACTCACCTCCCCCCCACCCACGCCCACTGCTGGGGCAGCATCAGGGGGCGGGAGGGAGTAGAAGGCGGCAGGGGGGGTGGGGGCGATGAGGAGCGTCCAGTTGGCGATGTTGTGCGTGTGATGGTAGTGCTGCGAGGAGTAGTTGAGCGTGCCGCATGAGTCCCGCACCACCACACTGCAAGGGCACGCGCAGGGGAGGGGTGGGGGGGAGAGGGAGGAGAGAGGGGTGGGGGAGATGGGACAGGAAAGTGAGGCAAATGAAGAGTCGGGGAAGTGGGGAGTGGGAAAAGGGGGGAGAGAAAGGGGAGAAGTGCGGGAGGGAAGGTGGAGAAAAGAAGAGGAACGAGAGATAGAGAGAAGGGAAGAGAGGAGGTGGGTAAGGAGAGGGAGAAGACTGGTAAGGAGGGAATGGGAGAGAGAGGGGGAAAAGAGGGAGGATAAGTGAGAGCAGAGGAGGGCGAGGGGTGCGAAAAACGGCAGCAGAAAATGTGAGGGAAGTGCTTATGGGGAAGTGGGTGCAGCGCCATCCGAAACAACGTGTCCCCCCAGATATTGGCGAGATACAAGTGCCTATGTCTGCTATTCGAGCTGATTTTGTGAAATTCTCAGAACAGCCCCAACGCCATTCTGGCGCCCTTGTTGCACAACGCTAGGATGCCGGAGGGATCGGCAGGAAGCACAATGGGTGTTAGTGCCGCCGCCTAACACAGAAGAGGATTACCCGGCCCTGTGCCCCTCTCGCGTGCCATCCGCCATGTCAGATCTTCCAGTTCAACAACGCTGGCGCATACAAGGCCCGCATTACCACGCACCGCGGCATCACCCCGCCACACCGCACTGAACCCAGACTTCCCAGAATGCGTCGAGGTTTCACGGTTCTTGGTTCGGAATTGGGAGACATCGCGTAAACGCCCATCCTCGTGCCCGTGGATGGGTTTGGAAGTTAGATTCGGCACTCAAGGCAGACGTATTTTAAGTCGACGGGTCGCACATAGTTCCGAAAAGCCACTCTCGCGCGCGCGGTTTCGGAACTGTTTCTCGCGTCACGATGGTTTCGAGTTAGCTTCGGGATCTCGGATCAGCGCACAACCAGGATCTCGGGTTCCGGTTGGCGCCAATCAGCGCACAACGGTGCGCTTCCATTCTATCTTGCCGCAGTGAACGGCGTTCAACCTACGCGTCATCAGCGGGGGGGTGTCGCTACCTTGGCCCAATCCGCCCATCACCGCTACTAATTCGTTCTTCCTCTCCCCCTTCCGTCCCCTTGCGCGCACACTCACGTGTACTCCCCCGCGTCCCACGCGCGGTACGTCACGAGCATGCGCCGCGGGTCGTTATCGACGCGCGCGACGCGCGCCTGCAGCGTGGCGGGCCCGTGCAGCGACACGAGCAGCTCGCCTTTGAACGCCGAGTACCGCGGCACGTCCCAGTGCGCGGGACGATGCACCGCTATCGTGAAACTGCACAGCCGCCCCGCCGCGCACCGCGCGCAGTCCTCCCCGACAACAACCACGCCCCCCGGCACTCGCCGCTCCGCCTCCCCCTCCCCGCGCTCCACCAGCCACGGCGCATTGGGGGAGTCGGCGGTGTAGCCGCCGTGGTCGCCGGACCACCAGCACACGTGATGGAGCGAGGCGCGGTCGGCGGAACTATTGCTACCAGTGCTAGCAGAAGCACCAAGGTGTGTATAGGCGGGGAGGAGGAGGGGTGAATTGGCGAAGGTGACGCTTAGCGGAGAGAGTTGTGTGGTGGAGAAGACAGCGAAGACAGCGAAGACAGAGCCAAGAAAGAAGGAGAGGATGTAGCGCGAGTAGTAGTTGATCGGCGAGGGGTGGGCTTTAAGGGACTCGTCGTGAACACTACGAAAATTAGCCGCCATAAGGTGATCGCAAGATTCTGTTGAGCATGAAACGGCAAGAGTGGTCCGCGGCGAGAAAGTAGGGAGAGCTTCCTCGCCAGATCATGCATGAAGCGGTGCAGAGGGACGACGTTTGCAGATCGGTTTGGGATGGGATTGCTCCTTCAGTGGGGAAGGTAGATCGCAGCACAGTAACCGTGATAACGACGGTTGGTTGGTGGAGCACTCACCATAGACGAGCGAACCAGGGGTGTCACCGAAGGCGAATGTCGCGAACATTTCGGAACCCCCACCCAACGACCACACAGTACAAATTGCAAGCAGGATGTTTGGGTTGATAATGTCGAGGATGAAACGTGGCGAAGCCTTTGGCGAAGGATGTCATTGCAAGATATGCTGCGATCAAGTGTTAATCGTTGCTAGGATCGCCTCGGGAAGGTTCTCACACGGTTGTTTGGTGGTGGTGGGCCCTGACCTCAAAACAGAGTGAATGTTACGGGTGCAATGAATCGAAGTAGCGAGAATTGCACTAAGGTGTCAAAACGAGTACAAAGATGTGAGCAAAGGCATGAGCGAACATTTATACGCGAAACATGCCAACGGTAACGCGGTGCGTGCGAGCTAGCTAGTGCTACGCTGGCAGCGAGGCTCGGGCTAGTCCCGAAGCGTAGGCCGACACGGCCGGGCCAGCAGTGCGAGGTTTGGCAAAACAGTGCGCGCGAAGTTGGCGAAGTCCCGTTAGCAGTAACGGGCGAACAACGGCTGTTGCTGTACGCGATGTAGTCGGGCTCCGTAAAGAATGCCGAGAAAATTCCTTACACTACCCCCCCCCCTCCGCTACGCGAGTGCGTGTATATTGCGGAATCCCCGGCTCCTCAGGTACACTTGCAGGGCAGGGTGGTTTTCAATGTTGGCCAGGGGCACCCAGCTATCCTCAGTTGGCGTGCGGTCCTTCCAGCGAACGAGAAATTCAATCCTCCTGATTCCCGTGGGGTGGCGAATCCGATGGCTCGGATTTTTTCGGGCTCGATGATCGGCTCCGATGTAGGGCGAGTCATGGAATGCGGGCGGTGACGAGGCAGTTGGCTGGTGGTTGGGATGTATGGGCGAAGTAGGCTGACGTGGAACGATGGGCTGATGTACCAGTCGGTCGGTAACAGTAGGTGCGCGGTTACTTGCGTGATCATGTGGCTGATTTGGAATGGGCCACAGTAGCGCGGTCGAAGTTTCGGTACGTCGGGCAGTCGCAGATTTTGCGTGTCGAGCAGTCCGTAATCCCCTGACTGGTATGTGACTGGGCGGCGGTGGCGGTCAGCGTTGCGCTTAGCGATGACGTTTGCTTTTTTAATTGCTTCCACGGCTCTGGTGCGGGCAGCTTGCAGAATTTCGGCGAATTGCTGTGCACGTGGTGTTGGGTTGTCCGGACTCGGCGTCATGGGCACTGTAGGATTTTGCCCGTAGTTCAGGTAGAAGGGGGACTGCTGCGTCGTCGCTGACGTGGCGTTGTTGTACGCGAACTCGATCAGCGGCTGCTGCTGCTCCCAAGTCGTGGGGTCGTCGCACGTGGCACGAATCAACTGCTCCATCGTCTGATTCGTCCGCTCCGTTTGACCGTCGGTCTCGGGGTGGTACGACGAACTGAACTGTAGCCTGGCCCCGAACTGCTCCCAGAGGTTCTTCCAGAAGTTGCTGGTGAACTTCGTGTCCCTGTCGGTCATAATCGCTGCTGGTATCCCGTGCAGGCGAACAACGGCTGTGTGAGAGTACGACGGCTTATGCCAGCTATGCTTGCTTGCCTTTACTTTATCATGCTATTTCTAGCATAGGATACTTATATGCATGCATGAATTGCTTGATTTCATAGGCTAGGTGCTTTCCTATATTTTATTATAGTTATAGCACCGAGCTAGGTTGCGTGCACCGAATTCTGGCTTTTCGGTTGCCACCGAATTGCCTTCTACCAAATTCGGGAAGGATCTGTTCGGGACGCTTCGCGACCCGCGGATCCTTCGCGTAACACCTGGTTACTGGGCCTTGTGTCGAGCCTATATATAGCCTCGCGTTGTACCCAGATGATCATTCAATTCACATTCTCTTTTCTGAGCTCGATCCTAGATCCTCACACTTGGTAATCAGAGCCTGTTTGCAAGCGAAGTTTTTCGACCGCTTAAACCTAGCTTTTAAAACCGCGGGGGCGACAACGGAAAGCGCCGATTTCGGGTACGTAAACCAGTTCCGCGCTATTTTCTAATGTCCCCCTCGAACCGGTTTTCGAACACTCCTCAGGTCCAGTGGCGAAAAAGTTGGAATTTCGACCGTCGGATCGATTCGAATCTCAACGGCCTCGAGAATTTCGCCCAAAACAGTTGGAATATGGAGCGTCGGATCGAATTTCTTCTCAACGGCTGAGATCAGACGCGAATTTCAACTAAGGGAGAATAACGCGACCTACAGAATCAGCCCTCGTCATTTCTGCAGTCAACTCGACTCACAGTAAGATGACCAGCGCCTAAAATTCATATATTTTCGTCGCAAATCTTCTTATAAATCGCCAAATGGAGGAAAACGGTGATAATTCCTTACGGAAAATTACGGAGTTACACACCGGCCTGGACCAGACGCGAGCGGCACTCCAGCGAATAGAGGCGCTTCTCGCGAACCAGTCGGCAGCCGCCACGGCAGCAGCGAAAGCAGCGGCGAATGCAGCAGCGACGTCAGCAGCAACAGCGGCGACACCGACACTTCACCCAGCAGCAGCGGCAGCAGCTACAGTGAATCTTGAGGCGGCACGTCCGAGGCTACCGGAGACATTCAATCCGAATGCGAGAGACACTGACGTTCGTCGATTCATTGCGACCCTCGAAATTTACTTCGAGGCCGTTGGCTATACGACCCCGACACACGATGCAATGCAGATTCGGCTCGCAGCGACACTGTTACGAGGCCCAGCGCTCGAGTGGATTTACAATAGCAACGAGGTCCGAGGCGAGGGGTCATGGACGCAGTTTCGGGAAGCTTTAATTCAACGTTTCGAACCAATCAACTCCAGCTACATGGCGCGACAGCAGATTCATCGGCATAAACAGTTCGGCAGTGTAACACAGTACACGCAGCAGATGGAGAGCCTCTTCAACCGAATTACCGACCTGACCGAAGGGGAAAAAATCCAAGCGTATACTGAGGGGCTAAAGATGGAAGTCCGCCGACAGGTGATTGCCGCAAACTACAACAACTACCGCGACATGGTGTGTGCAGCAGAGAGATTCGATGCGCTAATGCGATGTGAGCCCGAGACACGACGCCACGTGCCGAACAGATCATTCGACACGAAGCGATCGGCACCACCCACGACCGCCGACCCGATGGATATGGACAAGATCGACGCGAAGCAGCGGCCGACAAAATATGAGAAGTGCGAATTTTGCGGCGCAGCAGGACATCAACTCTTTGCGTGTTGGAAGTTGAAGAAGGTACTAGCGGAGCTACAGGGCAACAACAGTTCGACATCCACGATGGCGAAAAAAGGAGGACACGATGGCGCGAATTTAAAACGCCACGACCGGCCAGCAATAGGGGAAATCGCCGAGACAAATGGAGGCTCCGCGAAACAAGACTCTGCACCGACCGGGAAACTGTCAGATTTATATGACATAGCTACTGTAGGCTATGGTGGGGTAGCACATATGGGGTACAGTTTTCTAGGGTTTGCTTTTGTACCCAACTTTCCTTTAGTCATTCTCATTCCTCGTTTCTTCTCATGGTATCGAGCAGGTTCCCTAGTGGGAACACTTCCTAGGGCCCACCACGAATTTTTTTTTCCTGCCCGGAGCGCGCTTCGCTCCTGCCCGAGTCGCGCCCTGTGTGCCCTCCCTACCGTCGCGCCCTCTCACGGCCCCTCACGGCCCCTTCGCGTCGCCCTTAGCGGCCCCTCTCACGGCCCCTTGCGCCGCCCTTACGGCCCCTCGTGCCACCCTTACGGCCCCTCGCGCCGCCCTTACGGCCCCTTACGACCCCACGCGCCGCCCGTCGGCCCCTCGCGCCGCCCTTAGCGGCCCCTTACGGCCCCTCGCGCCGTCCCTTACGGCCCCTCGCGCGGCCCCTTACGCCCCTTACGGCCCCTCCCGCGGCCCCTCACGGCCCCCTACGGCCCGTCGCCGCCCTCCGCGGCCCCTCGCGCCGCCCTATCACGGCCCGTCGCCGCCCTCCGCGGCCCCTCGCGCCGCACTTCACGGCCCCTTCGCGCCCTTCGCGGCCTCTCGCGGCCCTGTCGCCGCCCCCCCCCCTCCGGCCCGCCGTCGCCGCCCCTGCCGCAGCAGCCGCCGTAGTCCCTACAGCAGCGGCCGCCGCCGTCCCTGCAGCAGCAGCCGCAGCCGTCGCCAGCAGCAGCCGCCACCACCTCCCTCGGGGCCGCAGCTGCTGCCGCCGCTGACTGCACCCGCCGGTGCGCCTCGGCCCTACCGGCGCCGCTCCACCCGGCCCCGCCGCCGCTCCCCGAGCGGCCCCGCCGTCACCACCGAGCCGCCGGCGCTGCCGAGCTGCCCGATCCGCCGCGCCACCTGAGCCGCCCGTGCTGCCGAGCCGCCGTACCGCCGAGACGCCCGAGCCGCCCGAGCCGCCGAGTCGCCGAGCCGCTGTTGCTGCCGAGCCGCCGTACCGCCGAGCCGCCCGAGCCGCCCGAGCCGTCAAGTTGCCGAGCCGCTGAGCCGCCGAGCCACCCGAGCCGCCCTGTCTGGTAAGAGCAGCGCCTCTGTCACTGCACTGCCCTTACCCTACTGTTCGCGCTGCTAGTCTACTGCTGTCATGGCTACCCCTAGTGTCCTCGCTTTTGACGCTGAGGGTCGGGCAATTGACTTTGACGTCTGGATAGATGACCTGCAGCTTTTCCTACAGTGCGATAGGGCAGACGGTCTCTCCCTCTTTGACCTCACCTCTGGTGCCTCTCCTGCCCCTGCCGCTGATGCCGACGCCACTGTTCGCTCACAGTGGGCCACTCGCGATGCTGCTGCACGTCTTGCTGTGCG